TTAATTTTGTGTTCCCAGTACGTTCCCTCCTGTAGGCAGAATGAGCAGAATGCAAAAAAGATGAGCAACCAAAAAATTTTTTTTACTTAATATAAAAGTACAAAAAATGTTTTCATAATAAATACCATATTTAATAAAACCAAGGAAGTTTTTTTCACAAATTTTGTTTGATTGGTTAAAGACTTGTACTAGTCACAAGTTTTTTAAAAAATTTAAAATCCCACAATTGTCACTAATTATCATATGTGTAACCTTATTGCATGGAGCCTACCCTTAAAAAATAATTACCAATTTTAATTGCTAAATATGTGAATGAAAAATCAAAATACAGACTATTTTGCAAAGGCTTCGGGTCCTTTGTATTTATATGAAGTAATGAAAAATTAAGAGTTATATATTAAACATTTGTCTGCGATTTAGATATTAAGTTTTATATATGGGGGGTTTTCTAGCAAAAACCGGCTGAGAAACATAATAAATTTTTCGAGAAAATGACTCCTGAAAATTTGTTACACGAAAATTGGTTATTTTAAACCCCAAAATTTGTTACTATTTTTAAAAAATAAAACGGCCGAATTTTCATAATTCTTATATTTATAAATAAATTAAATTAAGCAAAATCTTTATAAATAGTGTAAAAAATTTTAAAGACAAGTAAAAATCCAAATATTATTTTATTAAAAAAATATCATCTGTAATTTCCACTATGTCTTTTTATTCAATTCCTAACAATTCGGAAGAAAATATTGAATCACCTGAAGATTTGCTTAATAGTGAGACTATAGATGATTTGACTTCAGAAAATCATCAAACCCCAGATGTCATCATGAAAACCCATGAAAATTTAATTTTTCAAGATATTGAGTTATCTGAATTAGGATTAGAAGAATATGAACCAAATGAATTGGTACTTGAAACAGTCTATGATTTGAAACTATTTTTTAACAATTCATCAAACTGTAATTGTCGAAAAAAATCTAGAATTTGTTTTGAAAAAATTGGGTTCAAAAATTTTTTTGAAAGATACATGGAACTAAAAGAATTGGAAAGTAAAGAATTAGATCTTTGTATTAAAACACAACTAATGGTTTTTAAATATAAATTAAAGAGTGGAGATGATAAAACCACCCATAATTATAAATATCAATTTAACTCATCAATACCCATTTGCCATCCAGTTTTTTTAAAATTGTGTGGTATTCATAAAGACAAATTACTTGCTTTGCAAGATTAAAAACAAATGGTTTAGAGGATTGTGTCCATGGCAATATTAAAAATGTTCCTAAAGTTAATTCACTAGCCTTAGTTGATCTTGATTTAGCAAATATATTTAAACAATTTCTATTGCAATATTCAAATATACATGGTTTACCTTCTCCAATGAAACTCAGAGATGATTCAGAACCGTATATCTATTTACCAACTGATCAAAGATATACTACAGTCTATAAAGAATTTCATTGACATTTTTATTTAGAACATGATGAATCTACCAAAATTATTGCATATAAAACATTTTACAATCTTTGGCAACGATTGACACCACACATTAAATTTCTAACATCTAGAAGTGATCTTTGTGATACTTGCGAAGAATTTAGATCAAATTTAAAAGCAACAAAGGATCAAGATGATCAAGAAAATATCAAGTTTGAATATGATAAACATCTTCTAACTGCAAAAGTTGAAAGAGAACACTATAATCAAGTAATTAATAAATATAAAAATGATTCATCAATAACACACATCTGCTATGATTGGGCACAAAGTGTTGTAGCTCCCTATTCTCCTCAACAAGTTGGATCAATTTATTTCAAGTCACCTTTTTTAATACATCTTTTTGGTGTATGTAAAACTGATGAAGGTGATAACCATCAGCTAAATTTTACCATAGGAGAGGATGAATTACCAAAAGATGTACCAAAAGGAGCTAACACAACCTTAAACATGGTTTATCATTTTCTTTTAAAAATTGGAAATGTTAATAAAAAATCTCTCTATGTTACATGTGATAATTGTTTTGGACAGAATAAAAACAATCCATCACTCTGGTTCTGGTCATGGATAATAATGTTAGGGTGGTATGATAATATTTACATAAATTTTATGATCCCTGGGCATACAAAATTCATCTGTGATGCTTCTTTTGGATCCATTAAAAAATTATACAAATATAGTTGCATAAATACTGTTGATGATGTTGAAAATGTTATAAATGAATCATCTAGAAATAACAAGTCAATTAGATATAATGATGGCTTAGGTTGGAGGTGGTATGATTTTAGTTCTTTATTAAATGATAATTTTAGAGCCTTACCAAGTATAAGAAAATATTACCATTTTCGATTTAGTGGTAGTTCAGAAGATATTGGAAAAGTTTATGTTTCAAAAAAATCTGGTAGGGAAGAAATTTCTTTCAAACTTCTAAAAAATACTAATTTTGATAAAAATACTCCATTAAATATACTTGAGATTGCTCCATTATCAGATGATAGAAAAAATTATTTGTATAAAAAAATTCGCCAGCATGTAGATGAGCCATTTAAAGATATTCTTTGTCCAAAACCTAACTAATTTAATAGTTTAATGTATTATTTTTTTAATGTGTATGTATTATTATTTTAATACGCAAAGAAATTTTTTATTGTGTGTAACAATAAAAATAGGGTGCGTAGATCTTTTTAAATTTGCGCAAATTATTCTAAAGAAAGTATCTGGCCTACGATTCTTCATTTTTTTATTAAACAAACAGGGTCTAATACTTTCACCAATTATAGTCTATATCTTATAGATTGATGTTATATAAAAAACTCGAATTTGGTCAGAGGACCTCGGAACCGGTTTTTGCTAGAGAACCCCCATATGGTAATGGGCATTAACCTTTTTATTCTAGCTTTGAGTTGCTTGGCAAATAGTATGGCATTGATATCTTCTTTAGCTAAATGGGATGGAACTGTTTTTTTCTTGGAAGACTTTGCCGAATCATCTTTGTCAGATTTTTTTGATGGCATTGTTGTACATGAAAATGAAATTATGTGAATTTCAAATTTACATGCGTGAAATTCAAATTAGCCAATCAGAATTTCACCTCACTCCATAATATTTCAATTTCACATACAACAGCATCTTGAACAAAAAATTATATCTTACAAGAAAAAAAAATATACAATATTTATTATAAATTATGAATATGAAACACGTTTAACACCACTGGAAATTCTAGAAAATATCCTTGCCATCTCTCTTTCTGGGTTGACGTCAAAAAAAAAGCTTAATCATTTTTATACAACAATACATACCTCTTATTTACTCGTAAAAACAAGAGAAGATTAAGACGCATTTCAGATAAGAAATATTTATAATAACATTGAAATAATTGTATACTATTATTTTTAGAATGTAAATGATGGCCCATCAAAATCCGGATCAAGATTGCAATTAACTTTTTGTGTTCCTACTTTAGCCTAGACTATTTTATCTTCCGTAAATGTATCAGTGGTCAAGGAAATAAAAAATATAAATGGTTTATCATGCGTTTTTTCAGATTCTACCATATTACATAATGCATTAGATTCAACAAAATTGAATTACAATATTTTTTATATAAATAAGCTTTTTAATATATCTTGCAAATAGTATAAAACAATGACAAACATGCAATCTACAATCAATTCATTGAGGGAATTAAATTCCAAACTCGTAGCAAAGATTTATGAACTTAGAAAAGAGAATGATGATATTAAGGCCGAAACTATCGAGATCAAGGCCAATATTGCAAAAATTAAAGCAAGCTTTGGAAAAATACAAAGGCAGATTCACAAATCTAGAACAGAGAGATAAAATGACCAGCCTTATTGCAAAATTTGATGATGATATTAAGGAAATCAGACAACCTTCGGCTAGGAATTCAAAAGAAAGGTCAACTGAAAAAAACAAAATTAATTATCAAAAGGCGAGTACAGAGATATTTAATAAAATAATTTTAGAATATTCAGAAATAAAGATAGAAGATTTGCGTGAGGTGACTGAAAAGGGTAGAAAAATTTATACATTACTTGAAGGAATTGGGATAGATAAAATCGGATTACTTTCTAAATATAGTGCTGATGATATTTCTAGTTTAACAGATGCTCAAATACAAAATATAATAAAAAGTTATACTGATGGACTTGCCAAATCTTAAAAATTTTAGATAAGTATTACAGTTGATATTTTGCATTGTGCGACTGATAAATTATAAAACTAGTACTCAAAAAAGATGCAAAATTTTATTAAAATATATATAAAGTCATATATTTAAAAACATATATATTATTTTTTTTGTTTTACCAGCACTGCGTTTTCTGTATAACCATCTGGCCGAGAAAAAAATCAAATCGGGATTAATACTTAGTCTCTACTACAAAACACCATTAATGAACCAGTTTGTAGATCAACCTTTCCAAGCATAGAAAATGAGTTTGTAATTCATGTTTACTGCTTTTATTTACATGATGTACTAAACCAACTCATTAATATTTTTTTTTGTTATATTATTATTATACAATATATAAATTATATTACCATGAAAATAGTCAAAGCTAAAGTAGGAACGCAAAAAGTTAATTGCCGTCTTGAACCAGGATTTCTGGGGCTTCTATGTGTACTGATAAAATCCTTAAGAAAATTGGAGGGAAAATTACTAGAAGAATAACTCTTGAAGACAAAGATAGCAAATTCTTCAATGAGATGACTACACATCCACTTGGATGGGCCGTAATTCACCTCTAACGTAAAAAAAAACACTCAAATTAGTAACAACAAATCTATCACAATTCTGACCAAAGTAGTCATGGAAAAATACAATTCCAAAATGTCGAACTATATCCTGCTTGGTAATAAGTGGTTTTGTACTAAAGAATATGATGAGGTTAAACTTCCGACTTATTTACTGGAAATAGTAACAAATGCAGAAGATGCTTGGGTAAGAACAACTCTGCGTATCAAGAATTACGAAGAAAAAGGATCAAGGGTCATAGTATCTGTTAATAAAAGTAATGACACCCATACCGTTTTTAGTATCTGAGTCTGATTCTTTTGACAGTGATTCAAGTAATTCTTCCTCATCCAGTTCTGACTCGGAAAATGGAGAAGTATATACAATTACAAAGCGAAAATGTAGATGTGTGGAAAAAAAAGAAGATTAATAGAAAAATCACCTACTTCTCTTCCGATTCATCTGGATCGTGCCCAATTCTTCTAGCAATCATTCGGTGGTTCCTGGCCTATATAGACTGGAATTTGGGCAAGTTTTGGTACAATATTTAGATGGATATGTTGTCTTGATGCCTGTACCATAATTGGTGGGTTATTATGAAGCGTTAAAATTTGTTGATTTAAATTTAAAATTATTTGCCTCAAATTTTTTTCCTTATTTTCCCATTTTTTGTGTTTCACCTTTTGCTTGATATGCTTACTCTTTCTCTTTGCATGCTTCCTATGCCAATTTTGTAAGTCAATTTTGCATGTTTGTAATTGACCGGTCTGGAAATTGTTAGCCTGGTTAAGAAGATCGAAATTATTATTTGCAGTATCTAACTAAGCCTGTAGTTGTGCGATAGTTTGTGCATCTTGGTAATTTTGGGTCTGAAACTGGGTTGCAAAATTATTTAACTGATTAACTGTATTAGCATCTCGTTGATATTGGGTCTGTGCTTGGGTATTTTCCCACTCAGCTATATCTTGAAGCCCATGCACGGAATCATTAACTGTAATAATCTTGTTTAGAATATCTCTTTGATTCCAAGCCGAAGTTTGGGGGTTTCGAATAATATAATCATGTCCATTTTCATCTAGAAATGTATCAAATGTGGTGCTAATCTCGTTGAGAGCTGGTGGCTGAATCTGATTCACCATCTTAACTATATTAAGTGAATCTTTGATTTCTGCAGGTTTATTATATTTTCAAGGGGTAATTTTTTTGAATTTTCTTTTTTAATATGATCACTTCATCTTTGAGTATAGACAACCATCACTCTAGATCAAGAATATAATTCTCTTTTTATTTGCATCCTTTAGAGTAGACTGAAGACGTTTTTGCAAATCAGATACTTGGAATTTGAGTTCCTGTACCTCCTTTTGTAAGTAATGATTGTGGTATTCTGAAATGAAATGGTTCTACTGCATTGTTCTAACTCTTTTATAAGGACGCGGATTTTTTTCTCATTTGTTTGATTTATGTCTACTTCTTTACCAACTCTTTACACAACTCTCGATTAGTACCTAACAGTTGTAAGTATCCAGGATCAGTTTGAAAATTCATATCAAATATCTAGCCTTAGTTTATAGTATCTATTATAATATTTCGTGATAATGGCAATGAATGTACCTACTATTATAATCAGAGCCGATGAGGAATTAAAAATCGTTCTTCCTCTAATCTACTATCATATACCCGGATTTTATTCAAACGCGAAACAGTTACAAAAGGCTTGTTGGAGAGAAGGATATAATCATTTTTCCCTGCAAAATATCGCAAAATGGTTAAAGCACCAGTATGTTAATCAAACACACCTCTTTCCGCAAAAATGCAAAGCCGAAGCAGGGTTCCAGAAGATATATATTCCTAACAAAGTACATCAGTGCGATCTGCTGGCCCATGGTTATGATGATCAGGATGGTGAAAAAATATACCTCTATACTTTAGTGGTAATAGACGTTGCAACTCGCTATAAAGCTGGACATTCGTTAACATCAAAGAATAGTTTAGAAATTTGGAAAGCTATCGAAGAAATTTACAATGATCTCAACAATCCTCTTGCTGTTAATGTTGGATGATGGGAAAGAATTCTCTGGACACTTTGCACGGGGAATGCAATGCCACAATGTATTTACAGTCAAAGCTCGTTAAATTCATGGGGTTGGCACAGAAAAATTTATGAATTTATCGAATTAATTCCATTATTGAAAGTCACTCCCAATTATTTAATTATTTAATAATTAACAAATAATAAAAATACTAAAACAATTCATTATTCATTTGTAAAAAAATCATCCATGGTTGATTGCTTCAAGCTATCTAAATGGAATTTAAATAATTGCGAATGAAATTTCCGAAAAGTAGACAAAGTATTTAGGTTATAAGAAAAATTTGGAGGAGGGTTTTTTGAATATTCCAAAGCACTTTTAACTGGTATAGAAGGTTCAGGTTCAATTCCTTCGTCTTCATCTTCAGCAACTTCATTATTTTGTGAAGGATGTACTGTTTCAATAATTTCTGCATAAGAAAACTCTTCAGAAACTTTGTTATCAATGTTTACAAATTCCATTGTTGAAATGGGTTCACTAAAATAGAGTTTATTTATTTCTTCTTGTAATTCATGAATCGTATTTAAATCATAATCTGGCAAAATTTTAGTCTTCTTCTAACAATTAACTATTGTTGATTGTGAGACTGCATCCCATGCTTCACCACAAAAATTAATTGCATCCAAGATATTAATAGGATCTACCAAACTTTTATTGTTGTTTATTGTATCATCATATGCATCAACACAATTCTTTTTCTGTATTAGGCTTTAAATGAATTGATTATACCGGCATCTAATGGTTGAAGATGTGGGGGTGTGTTTGGAGGTAAATAATGTACATTAATATTTGAAAGTTGTCCAATATTAGTTATATTGTTCGTAGAAGCATTATCAATAAGTAAAAGTATATGACGATTTTGATTTCTCGTTTGTAGAGAAAATCTTCCCAAATAGAAAGCTTGCATCCAAGCAGTAGGATTCCAGTAATAACTTACTGGTAAGCTTTCTTTATTAATGCCACAAAGTGGTCGAGGAGTTTTAAATCAATGGATAAACAATGGTTTAAGTTTAACACTACCTGATGCATTGCATGTAAGCATCATAGTAACTCGATTTTTTGATTTCTTGGTACCAACAACAGGTCCAGTTGCTAATGTTTTTGATGGTTCAAGTTCCCAATACAATGCTGTCTCGTCTGCATTAAATACATTGTTTAAATCATATTGCCTAATGATACCTTTTAGTTTAACATGTTCTTCTTCTAATGCATCAAGTGGTGCACTCTGACCTTCTCCTGATTTCACAAAAGATCATACATTAAATCTCTTTTTAAATTTTTGCAACCAACCATCAGATGCTGTAAAATTATTAATTTGAAGCAAATCTCTAAAGTCCAATGCATTTTTCTTAAGAACATCATTAGTTACTGTTAAGTTACTTATGCGAGCAGTGAGAACCAAATAACAACTGCTTCTTCAATTTTAGGAAATGCAGTTTGACAATTTATTTTTTTATTTAATTCTGTTGTTTCTGAATCTAAAGCAAGTTATTTATCCTTATTTTTAAAAATTTTAGAGATTACTGTTTGAGTGACATTATATTTAGCTGCTAATTCTTCTTGTGTTGGTTTTGGTTTAACTAAAAGCTCTTCACAAATTCTACATTTTTCAAGAAAAGATAAGTTGTTTTTTGTTATTTTTTTGTCAATTGAAACTTCATTATCATCTGTAATTCTATGCCTAATTTGAAAGCTTGAATTCATTTTTTTCAATGGTTAATAAAGTTCTTAAAATAATGTGACTTGATGGTTTATCCAAAAAATCGAATTATTACTTAGTCAATATTTTTAATGGTTACACAAGATATGAAATTAAAAAGCGAGATTTATTATATGATGGCATATAATAAAAAGTAATGGAGATATGACTTTATTGATTATCAAGATTTTATTATGACTATGAAATTATCAAATAGGATTTTAATATAAGTGGCATTGGTTCCTGAAAAAATAATGAATTTAGGCAATTATGAATTTATCAAATATGAATTTAACAAGCTTTGACTGTATCTGGGTTGACAACCTTTATAGTTTCAAAAGTTTACCATTGATCAAAGCATTGAAATGAAAGATTAGCGCAAATAATATACAAAATTCAATATGCTATAGAATCATCTGGCCATTGGGATGAAAATGTTTGGAATGAGACAGTCAAGATGTAATCCTTTTAATAACTTAGGTCAAGATGGTAGAAATTCTTTTCCTAACAAATCTTCGAATATATACCTTGATGTACACTCCCCTTTCAAATGAGGACATAGTGGACATCAGTCATACCTCTTCGTAATAACTTCAAGTGGCCTCTCCCATAAATGATTCTTATGACATGAAAATAAGAAAGTTGTAAGACTGGTTTGAATGAGGCATTTTCCTCCACGTTTTTCGGTGTAAATTTGAGCTTCAGTAAGGTTTGTCATGTTTATACTTATGTATATATATAAGTATTAAGAAAAAATATCACGTGCGCATTATAATTTATAACGCCAATCACTCTTGGCAAGAAAAAACATTAATATTCAGAATTGTGTCTAATATTTTATCTCTATTATATAAATCATATTGATGAAGTTAAACCGTTGAAGAAATCTTTAGATCATGAAAACGCTCCAAAGTGGCCATACTATATTGTAATGTCTGGAAGATCAAACACCAGTAAATCCAATATGGTGTTACATCTTTTTCTTGGGGATAAATATTATGATATGAAAATGAAAAAAAAACGAATTGATAAACGTCATATATGATGTAATGATATTGTATTAGTAGGGCACCATACCAATGAACCCAAATTAATTTTTTCTATGGTTGACGAATTTGTGGAAAACTTCAATAATATGGATACCTCCAATTATATTAGGAATGTTATTCATAATAAATCGTGGAAGGAAAATGAGGTTGAACTATTAAAAATGACAGAATGGATACTTGGTGTATTGTAAGTAACTAATAATCATATATTTTCCGCATCTAAAATCAACACACTAAAAAATTTATATTTGTAAATTTAGAAGAGATATATGGCGTAATCTGTAATTTGGTACAAGTATGGCCTGTAGTATGCAAAGTGGGGGAACCTATATTACAGATGCAATCATGCCGTTACTTCATGCCAGTTTGGGGGACCTACCAAATGGATATATCTGTTTAAGTTCAGCTGAACGTCAAAGCTTGGCAAGTAAAGTACGTAGAAATGATGGAACAGATAAGGAGAAAATGGGTAAAAAACCCAATATTATGGCCTTAGAAAAGTGCAATGGGAAATTACTGGAATTTTTATATGTGGAGAGTTGACGCATTGTTTGTAGCAACACTAAAAAAGCAGATGATGGAGTGGAATTATGGAGAGAATTGTTAGATGGAATTAGTTATATTTATTCTGCATGTAAACCCATTTGTAATCAGTTTGGCCCAAGTAGCTGGCGAGAAGATATATTTAAATGTTCTTGTAAAAGATGCAAATGGGAAATTAAGATACTTCCATCTAGATCATGCTGAAATTCCCTTGACCTTGGAAGTTTCATGGCATACCAAAGCTTCTCGTAGGATTACTATTAACCTTAAGAAATATTATAATTATGAACAAGAATTTACTCATACATAGTGATCACAATCATCATATTCATGAATATAGGGGGTTACACTTATCAAAATCAAGTGATTGACACATAATTTTAAGGGATTTTTGGATTTTTGATAAGTGTAACCCCCTTAATGAATATTCATGAATATGATGATTGTGATCACTACGTACACAATAATTATTTATCCGATTGGTTTTTTTTGGTAGGACAGACACAAATTGTTTTTTTTTTTTTTGGGAAAAACAAAAAACAATTTATTTTTTGGCAGAGTCCAAGGTGACAAAACGTGAGTGTTGTTGTTTGGTTTGGTTTGGGTTTCCCAAAGAAAACATGTTAATAACTAACCAGAGGTACTTTTTTTTATTTGTATTGATATGTATGAGGTTTCTTTTATTTTAGCTTATAAATATTTTAATTGGAATCAAAACGTGGAGCAGATCTTGCTGGGTAATTCAAGATTTCATTGATAATATTTTGCTTTGCATAATCGTAATAATAACACTATTATTAATATATAATTACAAGATATCAAGGCAGCATGACTGACTATTACAGAAGAAACAATTCAAGTATGAAACAATTCAATGTGATGATTGATTATCAGGTGTTGAAGCATGCATGCTATCTTGAACTTTACAGTCATTCTCTCATGTTCCTTGTGTTCAAAAGGCTAATCTGACCTGATTAATTGATGATACAATGATGCAACAGAATTCCAAGGGTGTTTGTGTGGCTTTGGAATTTACCAAGATTGCATTGATCATCATGGATGTTTTACTAATCTTCCCAGACTAGAGATGGCCACTTGCATGCTGGTCAAAAAGTTGCCTACTCTAGGGCAAGGATGGTAATGTGATCAAGTTACAACTCTGGAGGAATATCAAGAGAATCTGCAACTTGTTCCAAGCACAGGAGGTCACAATTCAGAGCAGGGTTGGTGGCCCTGAAATTGCATTTGGACTCTGATGTTAAGAGGAAGCTGTAAAATAAAATGGTTTAGATTTTGTTTGGTATGTCTAAGGCTTTACATGAGCCAGCTCGCAAGCTGGCTTGAGAACTTACTAAGTTATTCGGCTTGTGAGGAGCTTTAGGTATGTTACATATAAATTAATAATTTTCATAAATACTCTGTTTTCTTTAATTTTTGTTTGACCAACTGAACTTGTTATTTAAATTGGGGTAGGGTTGTTGGTGAGTTGGTGTGCCACCAATAAGACAGCAACCCAGGACTCAGAATCAGATTATTATTTAAAAAAATAATCAAGGTATTAGCATACTGATAAATTAATATTATTCCTTGTATTTTTATCATACAGTCTAAAATAATATTGTAATAGTTAGGATTGCTATTCAAATATAACAAATAATTTGAGTAAAAATAATTCATAATTTAGGTAAAAAATAAAATGAATAAAACAAATAAAACAAATAATAATAATAATTTGAATAAAAGCAAATAAAGCAAATTTGTATTATGAATAGCATTGATATTAAAATCAAAAAACAACAATAAATAAACAAACAAATAGCTTTTATTGTGAAATAATTAATTTAGTTTCTTTGGTGTTAATGATTGAATTGAACACACAAGTTTTCAGAAATGGTTCGTTATACAGTATAGAGAATTTAATTGGAAAATTTGTTATAGAGAGAGATTTTAAATAGTAAAATTTTGTATTTAAATGTTAAGTTTGTTATAAAGCATGACCAGCCATTATAGAGAGAGTGAACTGTATTATTACCATTATCATTGTAATGTATATATTAATATTAAATATGATTGTTTATATAATAATAAATAATCTAATAGATTTAAATTAATTAGCTATTTAATTTCCTTATTAAAATTATATTTCATTAATATCAAGGTCACTTAATAAACTATCATTGCTTTTTAAGTTC